TTAGCGCTTTTTTTACCTTTTTTTTAAAAAGGTTTATATTACCGTATAGTGATACATATCATTAAAGTTAAATAAATTATGTTTTCTTTCGGAAGTAAAATATGATACATACATTAGAGTTAAATAAATTATTTTTTCTTTGGGAGGAATAAAATGGTAAAATTTAATTTGTTCGAATTACATGGAATTTAACTTGGTATGTATATACCTTAAGATATTAAACTACCTTAAAGATATTAAACTATAATAAAATCACAATAGAGAACATGGTATATTCATATCTCTAGCAGTGAGCGACAAATCATGGAAGTTACATTTAGCTATTAAACAAAATATATAACATTAATGCAATTGATTTACATGTTTTATGAATATGAAATAGAATATTGCATGGTTCAGTCAATTGTCGAATAATACAAACGTAATATCTAATTTAGAAAACTATTAATACAAAATATTTGCAAAATTACCTAGATGGATTGTAATAATGTCTTGTGTAATATATTACGCGAGTCGCAAAATAGATTTAAACTAAAAGTTTTCATAATATTGAGTTCATTTATACAATAGCAATAATTAAAAAAATATAACACATGAAAGATAAAATGATGATGATGATGATTAATAAAATATAACACAGCGCCAAGTGTTTTTACATGAAAAATTTTTCTATTTAAATTAAATTTTTTCATTTTATACGGTACGGTTAATTCTTTAATTTTTGTGGTAACATTTAAATTGAGCAAGGTAAAGCAAGTTTGTGATGTTTTGTATAATATTTTGATGGAGAATTAAATAACCACTACTTTAGTTGGAAGAGGAAACGTCTTTGAATGAATTGTGATATAATGATTTCATTTAAGAGGAATTTAAACCATTTGGATTGGAATAGGAAGATTCTTCAATAAGTATACGTATACTTAGATTTCATTGTATAAAAATTAAAGATACTACTATTTGGATAAGTAAATAATAAATAAAGATAGTATCACTTCAGTTTTATTTTTCATTCTGATAGTAGAATTTAACTTGGCGCCACAGATTAATATTTTAATATAATAAATAGATTAATAGATTAATATTTTTTTAAAAAGGTAAGTTTGTATACGATCATATATAGAATATAAATTTAACTTGGCGCCACAATTGTTGATATCAAATCTTTTATACAGATGATACATATATCATTAGATATTTAGTAAAAATTATAAAAACATTAATAGTTTCTTCCACATCTTAATCTACATCGTAAATATTTATTGTTTATTATATATTTTTGGTAATATTTTTCAGTAAAAATAATATAGAAATATCTTTAGCATCTCTAGGCCATTGTTTTTTTATAACTTGCACATCATCAATTTCAATCCAAGATGTTCCTTCTCGA